TGGGCGGGAGCCGGCGGCGGCGCTCGGCCATGTCCAGCGTGATGGCCTCCAGCTGGAAGTGCGTGCCGAGGATCCCGCAGACGTGGAAAACTTGGTGGCTGTGCCCTGCAACCAAGGCGAAAGCGCTCACCGAGAAACTCCTCGGGCTTCACGGAAACACCGCCGCGAGGGCTCGGCAGACCTCCGGCCTAGCCTCCCCCGCCTTTAAATAGTTATTCTACCCGTTCCTGTGGCTTTTATCGGCGCGCCACCAGCGATCTGCCTTGCCGAAACGCCGCTGGGCTGAGGAGGGAGTGGCGCGGGGAGAACGGGGAAAACCCCGGTGCGGCCAGGACTGCCATCCGTCCCTCCTGCGGCGCCCTGACACGGCCCTGTGAAGCCCCGCCGTGCCACAGGTGAGGGGTTTGTGTTTTTTTTTTGGCGTGAGAAATGAGCGCTTGGTCATCTTGGCGTGAGAAACGAGCGCTTTGCCATCGTGAAACCCTCTGTGAAACGTTTTGGCACCGTTACGCTTCAGGAGCTGTTCCCACTTCCCCGAGGCAGGACTGCTCTGCCTCCTACGTCAAATTACATTTCGAATTTCCAGCAGGGAACACGTTAGGACCTCTGGGAGCCGCTCAGGCGTTAACGCGCTTTCTTCCTGAAAACCGTGAGAAAACAACGCCGGTTTGGCACTCACCGATATAATCGAAGTGTCCCGGCGCGAGTCTCTCGGGCAGGTGGCTCGCGAAGATGAAGCAGGTGAGGAAGGCAAAGACGGTGTGCTTGTAGTGGAGCAGGACCGCCGCCTCCGTGCAGCTCTCCGCCGCGCACAGGTAGAACTGCAGCAGCAGGGAGGCGCCCGCCGCAGGGGTACCGGCCAGAGGAAAGAGGGGAACAACACATTTCGAAAGGAGGCAGCGCCATTCCCTGAACCCCCGTCGTCGGGGCCTGCCCGTCCCCCGACAGCAGGGCCCGGCGCTCAACGGAAGAGCTGTCGCCTCCGTTTCGGGCAAATCCCAACCCCACACCTCCTCTCCTTTTGCCCTGGCCGCAGCGAAATTCCCACCCCGCTCCAGTTTAGGAGCTGGAACACTTGCAGTTTTCAAAGGCAGTAACTTTCCAGCACGGGCACAGTTTGAGCGCAGCGCTTTGAAGTGGAAGGAATCTGCCTGTCAATAGGTGCAGGAAAAAATAACCAAATCTCTTTTCCTGCCAGAGTTTGTTTTCCTTTTTTTAAAAAAAAAAAAACGCTGGCATATTTTCCCAAATATTTTCAGGCTAAGATGAAGCAGCGCATCTTTCCAACCCTGCAGCAAACAGAGGTCGTGGTGCAGTGAATACGGGCCGGGAGAGGCGTACCCTGTAGAAGAGGGGGATGCTGTCGAAGAGGTACGGGTACACGAAGGCCAGGGTGCGGGAAGCCTTGCTGAACCTGGGCTGCTCCACCTCCAGGAATCTAGAGGGAAACAGAGGAGGTGTTTCACGTGGCACCGCACGGCAGATGAGGGTAATGTCGGCGGTTTGCTGGGGGCTGTGAACTGCAGTAGGCAGGCTGCACCTACACCCCTCCCACAGATGAGGGTGAATCCAGCCGGAGCAGCGCGGGGTTTGTCTGCTGGGAGTATTAAAGCCGCGACCAACGTGGCTGAGCCTTCCCTGGCTGAACCCTGAGCTGGGGGAGGAAGGATTTAGGGGTCACCCTCCCTGTTCTATGCTCTGGCTCTCGCAGGTGCCGCTCTGCTGCTCTGGAAACATTCACACCGTCCTGGCGCGGCTGGTTTTGCTTCTTTTACCGTTGCCCGTAACCGTTCCCCTGGGGTCGGGTAGGAACCGAGCTGGTCCTTAAACAGCTGCTGCCCCTGCCGTTGTTTTTAACTGACTTCTCACCCTGGGTTTTGAACCCAAGCTTCCCGAGCACAGCCGTCGAGGAGAACACCTCTGCCGTGGTTTGGCAGGCTGTGCAGGGGATGCCGCAGCAATCGGGCTGGGGTCGGCACTGCCTGTTCATTCGGCTGTGGGGCAGCTTTGGTCTGAAATGCCCAAAGTGTCTTTTTTTACCTCTTGCCAAGGCTTTGTGGTTGTCATTTCGGAGAACACATGGGGGGAGTCACTGAAATCACGCACTAAACCCATTAAATCAGTCACTTTTGAGTGACATCGCCGTTACAATGGAAGAAGCAGCCTGTTGGCTATAACCACACCGTATATGAGGAGGAAAACGTATGTGCGGACAGGGAAGAGCATTCTGCATTTTGTTCCCCAGGAAATCACGCTGCTGAAATGCAGGACGTGCCTCATAGCTGAAATCACAAAATAACCGACCTCCCAGCTCCCCCCCCCACCAAAAGCCATTATAAGCCCTGGAGCTGCGTCGCGAGCCCCGTGCCAAGCCCCAAACCCGCTCTCGCCGCCTGGGGAGCACAGCTCAAACGAAACCTGGGGACGGAAAGCCCAGGGGAGCCTCAAAGAAGCCCGGCGGCACCCGCTGGCACAACCACCAGCCACCCTGCTCCGCGCAGCATCTCCAGCCGCCCGCGGCGAGACCGGCACGGGCGGCGCACAAACCCCGACCCCGGCAGCGGTTGGGGGGCAGAAGGATGCTCCTACCACGAGGAGGGCTCCAGCAGCGAGCCCATCACCCTGCCCTCCTGCTACAGCCACGGGAGCTCCAGACCGGAGAAAACCTCAGCCTCCGCTGCCCCCCTGCTGGGAAGGACCAACTTTTACAGGGTTTTAGCCCAGTGTGGAAACGGGGAGATTAACTTCAGCAGAATTACCACAGACCTGCCCAAATACGACCCGAAATATGGGTGGAAACCCCAACAATTCAACTTAGGCTCAAGAGCAACTAAGCGCATGAGGGCTTTCACCTTGCTCCTCCTCGACCTGGCCTTCCTCCGCGGCTCGTGGCTTGCTCGGAAGACATCACGATGATGCTGAAGGTGCCTCCTGCTCTATTTTCTCCTCTCTTTCCGTACGATTCCTGCCGTATTTTCCCGCTGCGCTCACCCTGGCCACACAACTTCCCGCTCCTCCGGCCGCGTACCCATCCCACCTGCTCTCCTCCGCTGCCAAAACCAGAGCCACCGTCGCGCAGCCCGGGCGCACGGTAACCCCCGGGGCGGGGGACGGTGCCCCATTCACCCAGGATGGCGTGAGATGTCGCAGAGTTCAAGTGCCCTCTGTTCTCAGCCCGAAAAGCCCATACAGGTTTTTCTGCTTTCGCCAGGATGTCCGCGGGGAGATGCCAAGTCCTCGAGGGTGAAAGAAACCTTTTCTGCGGCCGCTCCTGCTGCCCGGGGCGGGGATGCGGTCAGACACTCCCTGCTCCGGCCTGACAGGGGTATCGTCACGAGTAACCACACTTTTTTCAGTCCCTCTGCGCAGGTTTCCTGCTTTGATAACTCCCCGTTCCCAGGGCACGGGATGCAAAACCCAACCGAACAAAACCGCTCACTGTTGGCTCACCGACCTGCCGTCTAAGATAGGAAAATTTTCCTGAGAACTTGCAGCAGCTTGGCAAACGCCCTTCTTCAGACTCCTCACTGCAAGTCACCCAGGGATCTTTTGCTGATTTTTTTAATTATTATTATTTTTAAGCTGATATTTGGGGGATTTACTGCTTCTCTAATGGGAATTCCTGAAACGACAGGAATTGCTGTTCTATCCCATAGCGATAGTTGCGTGTTTTGCACATACCTGTACTTGCAGTTTTGAGGTAGAGAGATGCTGGGCATGAAATTTGCAGATCAAGACATTTTTTTAAACGATCCAAATTAATCTGGAACTGATCTCAAGTTGCTGACATTTCCTAAGTGTTATCTTCAAGCGGTAAACGCTAGGATTAACGCATGGTCAGTGAGCTTCGTTAGCTAAGCCCATCTAATGAGACGATAGAGAGACGCACAAGACAAAAATAAGAGGGGGGGGAAAGAGACAAAGAGAAAAAGAAAGAAATGAGGAACGTAAGAAAAAAAGAACCAAGCCCCAACTGGCATCGCCCACTGGGTGATCCAAGAAAGACCCTTGAGTGCGCAGTACCGCTCAGCTAGACCAAGGAGAGGTCCCAATCTTCCCCCCCGGGGAGTCACTCCAGTGAGAACCCCCCAGACCAAAGGGCGAGTAAATCCTCCCGCGCTCAACAGCCACCGAAATGAGCCGAATTCGCGGGATCTGCAGGGAATATTGAGAGCTCAGCACGCTCCCTCTGAGGTGACGCTCGGCTGCAGCCCACCCTGCCGCAGCCCCTCTCTGGCAGCAGAGCCAGCCGGCAGCGGGATTTCTCCCTGCTCGGTTTGCCGGGGTGTGGGAGCGTCCTTCTCCCTGCCGGGGCAGCAGCAGCGAAACCCAGCCCTGTGCTGGGGGTGGGGGGTCCTGG